AGTCAACATATTGTTGCGTCAGCGAGGTCACGTGACTAGTGTCACGCCACTTCTCTCGAACCTTCGTGAATTGTCGGGAGATTACTAGATATAGGGTAGTCTGGTATATATAAGATGGTCACAACGTGACAGCATCAATGTGTGTGTGTAGGTAGTGAGTAATTGATTTGCAGTCAGAGAGTATTGTTGAAGTTCGTTATAGGATTTGTTTTAGCGCGAATGTTGAAATCAAATGTATAGTAAAGTTATATTCAGAAAGAATAAACCAGTTTTATTAAGTAAGGACTTGTGTCGCTAAAGTTTCATCGGAACGAAGTTACGGAAAGTTAATTAACAAACGGAGACGTAACAATATACATAAAATTATCTGTGCAGGGTTATGACCCTTCTATATCCTGTTTAGAAGTCTACCAGCTAACTGAAAACAGAAAAACGGAATGAAAAAGGGATAAAAACAGAAAAAAATAACTATTGGCAGCATGGCCCTTGATCCCAGCCCAATGGGGGTCTACATGCTCTGATGATTTCAAGGACAGTTTTGGGGACAAAATATTCATTTTGTTAACTGTTTGGATGCTCAGTAAACATTGGACTTTTCCCACAACTCATGTTCCAATAACCAAAATTATAGACCAGTTAACACACAAAGTGGTTATTTCACAAAATATTTAGACACATCATTTACAAATTGAGTCTTTGAAAAGGCAAATACTGAATGTTATGTATGTTCATGCATGATCATCTGTCTATCCTCTTAGGCTTTTTCTTTTTGTCAATTCTAAAGTAAAATGATGCATTCTGGAGTTTATATGCATTATGAAAACCATTTTCTCAGTAAATTAGCTAACAAAGAAAGACATAATATTATGGCAGATAATTTATTAGATTATGAATGTTGCTGAACAGAACCTTTACCTTGTACTTAAGTACAAAAATGTCTTACTGAAATTTAATTGAAAAAAACAACAATTTTTTTTAAAATTGTTAAGAGCAAACTTGGATCAGGACCACTTGTTTAAGCTCTGACCCAGCTTTTCCTGTTCATACATACATACAGTTTAAAGACAACAATGGCCATCTTGGACTATCTAGGCTGTCTCCTCCTCTATACTAAACTCTAAAATAAAAATAACACACAAACCCAGCTTTTGCCATTCAAACATTTATCAGACACCCCCTTAAGTTCTATTGAATTAACTGCATCTTCCACATCTGAAGGCAACTCATCCCAAAGACCAGCCACCCTGTTAGAAAAATAAAACTGTCTTAGCTGAAGATGACACCTATACTTTCAAAATTTATATTTATGTCCACTAGTCTTACCATTCTCACCACTAAATATGAAAAAATGATGCACCAACACTATCAATTTCCTTTACAGTTTTAAATACCACAATCAGATTCCCTCTAACTCTTTTTTCAAGAGAAAAGTAATTCAGAGATCTTAACCTATCTTCATATGACAGCCTAGTAACCCTTCTCTGAACCTGTCCACAATTCAATGTCTTTCCTAAAATAAGAAGCCCATGACTGAACACAGTATTCCGCATGTGGCCTAACCAATGACCTACACAATGACATTATAACCTCTTTAGGCTTGTATTAGTTATTACTGTAGATACAATATAAAATCTTATTTCCTCTACCACTAGCAACAGTACATTTCTTGGGTGGTTTAAGCGACTGACCAACCAGAACACCAAGACCTCTTACTTCCATAACACTGTTAAGTATTATTCTTATCAAAATGATATTCATAATTCAGATTGTGATATCTCACATGCATTACAATGCATTTATTATAACTAAAAGTCCTTTTAAAAGCAACAGCATCCACCTCACAACTTTAATTTAATCAGAAAATTTAAATAATTTAATTTTCATTCCTTCATCTATGTCGTTGATGTAAATTAAAAATAGCAAGGGTCCTAACCCTGGGCCCTGAGGTACCCCACTTGTGGCCACATAAATCCAGCCTTAACTAATCTCCATTTATAACAACCCTCTGCTTTCTTCCATCCAGCCAGTTATCTATCCAATGAATAAACCTAACCCCCACATTTAACCTTATCAAGTGCTTTCTGAAAATCTAGATATACCAAATCCCCACCTGTAACCTCAACTAAATAGACAGTAAACTCTTCCAAGGTTATCTAATTATATTTGTAAGTCAAGATTCTCTTTCCTCGACCAAGTGAAATCTTGCTAACTATCCAACAAAATTAGATTCTGGTTTTTCTCCCTTAGAAATTGCAATCCAAATATTTAAATACTTTGTTCATTTTCCTGTAAAAAACAAAATGTTGACAAAATTATACAGGCCGTGACTGATTTTTTTTACATGTCTGAAATTCCTCGGTATTTCAAATTCACTCTCTCATGTATAACTCATGAGACTTAAAATAATTTTGCAATCTGTGATTTAAACAATTTCAAGAATATAGTTTTGTCCCTGTTCCCCCTACCCACCCAACTTTCATTAGATCATGTCTATTTCCATCCCCTTTTAGGCTCCATCTAAAAGATTTGACACACACATAAAAAAAAAATATGATGAAAGAAAAATGTCTATTTATATAATTCCAATCAAATGGGCAAAACACTACACACTATTACAGTAGACAGTAAAATATGCAAAGCTGTCTATCTCTTTGTTGATCTGTTTAGATCATCTGCCACTGGACTTTAAGGAGTCCATACATTTCTGAGGTGTTTGTAAATATTTGGCTTCAAAAAGACATTTTAAGATTGATAGGTTGTCCACCAATCAGACAGTTAAAAAGAGCCTCACGTACCAATTTTAGTTTAGCAAAAACATCAAAAGAGGCAAAGCAATCTCTGATCGAGCTTACTAGTAGCTTCTATTTTAACATAACATAAGATTTTGGGACAACATGGGACCTATTGGTCCATCAGGGCTGTTCCATCCTTAAAACTAAATTAAAATGATTATTTTTTTTTATTTTAAACCCAGCCCTTTTCATTCATATACTTATCAAGCTTTTTATCAAACTCAATTAAATTTACTATTTCTACAACATCTGAAGGCAACCCATTCCAAAGGCCAACCACCCTGTTAGAAAAATGAAACTGTCTTAGCTGTAGATGACCCCTACATTGCCAAAATTTATATTTGTGTCCCCTAGTCGTACTATTCTCATTGTTAAATGTAAAAAGAGATGATATACCGATGCTATCAATTCCCTT